CTTGCAACAAAGCCCATTACCAACTAAAGAATAAAGGGACACAAATCAGACATCAAGAATTATAACATTCAAAAACCAGCTGGAGAACACTTCAGCCTCCCTGGTCACCCAATTTCAGACCTAAAAGTTGCAATTCTCCAACAAAAAAACTTCAAAAACAGACTCCAACGAGAAACTACAGAATTGGAATTAATTTGCAAACTGGACAACATTAACTTAGGCTTGAATAAAGACTGGGAGTAGATGGGTCATTACACAAAGTAAAACTATTTCCCCTTGCTAATTTTTTTCCTTCTACTGTTACTCACACCTTCTTGTCAACTGTTTGAAATGGGCCATCCTGATTATCACTACAAAAGGTTTTTTTTCTCCTGCTGATAATAGCCCACCTTAATTAATTGGTCTCATTACAGTTGGCATGGCAACACCCATTTTTTCATGTTCTCTGTGTGTGTATATATATCTTCCTACTGTATTTTCCACTGCATGCATCTGATGAAGTGGATTTTAGCCCACGAAAGCTTATGCCCAAATAAATTTGTTAGTCACTAAGGTGCCACAAGTACTCCTCGTTTTTTTATTAAAAGTGTGGTCACCCATGACCCGGGGGGACTACTCACCATGGCTGGAGCAGCAAAATGGCACAGTGAACAGTTACAGATTCTGATTATGTTATTGCTTGCACCTAGTGTAATAAGGGTATTTTTTTTTAAGAAAATGGCCTTGCTATGGAAACATTTTATTCATGTACAGTGGCTCCTTTATTTTTTCCCATGACTGACAGCTGGAAATGTGTCCTTCGACCTGTCATCAACACCTGAAAGCAGACTTTTGCTGATTAGAAGGAGAAGAAAGAGAACGTGGGAGGACATGTTCACCGAGATAATGAACACCTCCGGGACAGCTGACACAGAGCTGAGAGCACGGAGGATTTCACTTTCCGAGAAGTTAGACATGGACAGGGAGAGCAGGAAAGCTTCAAATGAGCAAGAGCATGTGGCGCAGGATGAGATGCTTTGGATTATGAGGGACAAAGCAGACATGTTGAGGCATCTGGTTGAACTGCAGGAACAGAAGCAGGAGGGTAGAGTCCCTCTGCAGACCAGACCCGGGTGGATAGCCAGCCAGCATCGCCTGACACAGAATCACCCTCCCCCACGCGTTCCATGAGGCATGGGCAAAAAGTCTATTATCCCTTTCACTTAACTCAGGGGGAGGGTACAAGGAACAGAAGGTGCCCATTCACAGACCTTTGATGGTCGGAATGTGGTGTTATGTTACACAGCTGAAAATGTTTCTCCCATTCCAACTTTACAACCCCTTTTCCCCAAGGTTACCTTTATTTTCTGTTCTCCCTCTTTACTTATGTTTGTTAAATAAAATAAATGGATTCGAGAAATAAATATTCTTTATTGAGGGCTTGGGCGGAGGGTTGGCTTTACAGGGTCAGTGATACAAGCCAGGTGAAGGTTTGGGAAAGCACAATGCAGACTAGCAGCTCACATTACTGTGACTCATTACTGAAACGGCTTTTCAAAGCCTCCCAGCTACACAGCACCCCTTGCTGTGCTCTTCTTATTGCCCTGGTGTGTGGCTGCTAAAAAATGGCTGCCGTGCGATCTGTCTCAACTGCCCACCCCTGCGGAAAACTTTCCCCCTTTTTTTCACAGATATTATGGAGCACACAGCAGGCAGCTATAACCATGGGGATGTTCTCTTCATTAAGGTCCAACTTTGTTAGTAAACTTCTCAAGCGCCCTTTTAAATGACCAAAGGCACATTCAGTCACCATTCTGCACTTGCAGTTGAACCGTTCCTTACTGCTGTCCAGACGGCCGGTGTATGGCTTCATGAGCCATGGGAGCAAGGGCTAGGCTGGGTCTCCCAGGATAACTACAGACATCTTAATGTCCTCAATGTTCATTTTGTGGTCAAGAAAGAAAGTCCCAGATTGCAGCTTTTTGAACAGACCTGAGTTCTTAAAGATGCGCGTGTCATGAACCTTTCCAGACCATCCTATGTTGATGTTGGGGAAAAGCCCCTGTGATCCACCAGCGCTTGCAACACCATAAAAGTATGCCTTTCGGTTTATGTACTCTTTGGCAAGGTGGTCTGGTGCCAAAATAGGGATATGCATGCCATCTATTGCCCCGCCGCAATTAGGGAACCCCATCACGCCAAAACCATCCACTATGTCCAGCACATTTCCCAGACTCACTACCCTTCGTAGCAGAAGTCGATTAATAGACCTGCACACAGGGCCATCCCTAGCTATTCTGGGGCCGTACATACCCCCCATCGGCGGGGGTAGGCCTCCATGCGGGGAGCGGGGCTGGCTTGGGGGACAGGGGAGAACTGCCCCCCAGCACTCACCAACTGTGCGGCTGGGTCTGGGTCGCTGCACTTCCCACCGCCAGTGCGTGCAGGCCCGGCCCTGCTGCAGTCCTCAGGGGAATGGGGTCGGGAAGAGGTGGGGAAGGGGCGGGGGCTTTTGGGAAGGGGTGGAGTGGGGTGGGGCAGAGGCAGAGGAGGGGTGGGAAGAGGCGGGGCTGGGCCATAGGGAAGAGGCAGGGCAGGGGCTGGAGCAGCACGCAGCTGCGCTGGGCATCAGGAAATGTGGTGCCCCAAATTTCCTGGTGCCGTACACAGCTGCATACTTTGCGTATGGGTAGGGACGGCCCTGCCTGCACACTTGGAGCACAGCAGCTCCCAAGGTTGATTTACCTATTCCAAACTGATTCCCCACTGACCGGTAACTGTCTGGCGTTGCAAGCTTCCAAACAGCGATTGCCACTCACTTCTCCACTGTCAGAGCAGCTCTCCTTTTTGTGTTGCTGAACTGCAGGGCAGGGGAAAGCTCTGCACAACGTTCCTGGAAGGTGGCCTTCCACATTCAAAAGTTCTTCAGGCACTGCTCGTCATCCCATACCTGCAAAATGATGCCGTCCCACCAGTCAGTGCTTGTTTCACGGGACCAGAAACGGCGCTCAGCAGAGTGCAGCTTCCCTGTGACTGCCAGAAGCAACTGTGAATTGTTTTTTTCAATGGCTTGCAGCAGGGCTGCTTGCAGGACATCGCTATGTTCCGCGCAGCGGACCCTACTTCAGCTCTGGAAATACTGCTGAGGAAGGAGCGAGGTGTTTGAGATGCTCACAGCAAGAGTGCACAACTGAGCAGGCTCCATGCTTCTGGGGTTATGGCGTACGTGTGGCGGCTTTAAGGCGTAAAAACCATTCGGTTGTTTGCCGTTGATATGAGGGAGGGGGCAAAGTGCATCATGGGATGCCGACGCAATGTTCCCATTCTCCCCTACAACGTTTTGGTCCCATGAGCAATGTTCCCTCTAATTTTTGACAGGCCATGTGCACAAAAAATTTCTTCTGGGCAAATTTTTGTGCTTCTCTGCAAATTTTTGTGCGCGCGGTGTTTCACCATGTGCACGGGGATTCGGATCTGTGTGCGCACGCACACGCGCACAGCTTAGAGGGAACAATGCCCATGAGGCATTGCACAAACTTCCCAAAACACAGGGCGGCAAGTTGCACTTTGGGGTAGCTACACGCGATGCACTGCTTTGTGCATCGATGCAGGCACTGCTAGTGAGGACGCACTCCATCGAGACAATGAGCATGGGATAGCCACGCACAATCGCCTTAACTAATTCAGCAGTTTGGAGTCGAATTAGATAAAGTTGACTTAATTTTGTAGTGTAGACAAGCCCCGCCGCGGGTTTTAGCCTTAACCACGGAGCCAAAGTTTGGTGTCATGACCTTCCAGAGAGACCCTCACTTTAGGAGATGTGAGTGGATTTCCTGAAGTGTATTTGGACAGCTGTGGGGAAACGGATCGCTGCAGCAGCTGGAGAAATCCCTCACTGTGCACCCCCGCCGCCGCTCCTCCAGCCCTAGGGTAGCAGAAGCAGGCCGGCCCAGCGGTGCCAGCAGCTCCTCCCCCAGCCACATGGCAGCAGCAGGCAGGGGCTCTCCCGGGCGCCTCTCAGCGTGCTAGAAAGAAGCCTGCACGTGGCCTGCGCTGTCTGATGAAACATCTAACGCGCATTACCGCAGCTGGGGAGGAGGAGGTAGAGCCCCGCGCCCCCTTTCCCCTCATCACCTGCTGGAGGCTTCCCCCAGCCACCCAGACAAGAAGAAGCCAGGCTGAGAGACTTGTTGCTGCGGGCTGCGCAAGAAGGACGTTTGCAAGGCTGCTCCGCTCGCCCTAGGGGCCGTTCTTGTGCACCCCAGTCTCGGAGGGCGTTGGGGGTGCGCAAGGAGTGCGGGATCGGGCCCGGCTGAAGAGATCAATGCATAAGAAGCCGAGTTCATGCCACTCCAATGAGTGTACCCCAGGGATGAATTTGGCCCAATAAATCTCTGCGAAGATGCAAAATAAAATACCAACGGGGAGGAGGGGGGAGCGCCTAAGAAAACGTATTTCATCGCTACCCAGTGCACGCTCTGAATGTTTTCAATCAGCTCTCGCAACTGAACCGTCTCTATTCAGTCGCGCAGTAAGAAAAGACACTGGAGATCCAAGTGACTTCACGGGGCGAGCGAGAGGGGGCGGGCTGGGGGCCGTGTTCCACCCCATTGCAGACAAGCCATTCAAAGTGATGATTCAAGAAAGCCAGCCAAGAAATGCAAAGTGAGAAAGGCAAAGATAAGCATGGTGGTGGTGGGTAGATTTGGAAAGGTGGCAACGTGTGTTTGAAGTAGATTAAAGCTGCATTCTTGTTCCCAGCCCAGAAGCTGTGCGGGTGATCAGCTCCTTCCAGTGACTAGAGGATCGCTGGGGCTTCCTTCTCCTTTTTACAAAGCAACACATGGGAAGATTACAAACATCCAGATTTGTTTGCATTCCACCCCCCAGCACCCACCCCTGGGCACTAGGAATCCTCCCGAGCTGCGCTCCCTGCCCGTCTCACCCAGCGGTCAAACTAAGGTCTGCAGTGCACAGCTACGGGAGCTACACCCGTGCAGGGAGTCAAGCTTTAAGGAAGGAGCGGGGGAAGGGAGAGTTTTGTCATTTGATGTATCCCCATTCCAGCGTCTCACGTGGAAACCCCCTGCCCCCTCTTCCTGGCTGGCTCCCCCCAAATTCTAATAATCATTACAAGGTGTACACTCTCCTCCAGATCCCTTGTCAAGCAACGTGCTTTTTACAAAAGGAAAGAATAGATATGAGGGGGACGTACTGGACCCCAGAATCCCCTCTTTTCTCTGTCTCCTGGTGTTGCTTCATAACCTGCAATGGCTGAGATGTTCCTTCCGAGAAGCAAGATTCTAACTGCAGTCTGTTCCTGGGTTTAAATGCTCCTGGTTGCTCATGATCATTATTGTGCAGTTTGCAACCTGCTGATGCAAGTTTCCTCACATTTTGTTCCACGACGTGTAGTAGTTTAGAACGAGCACCGCCCACTACGCGTGTTGTCACAGGGGGACAGGGCTCCTATTGGTCGGGCTGGTGGACAACACCTGCTCGACTCCTTCATTCAAGTGACACCAGAGCTTCCAGGGATATTTGAGGCACCATCCTTTCCCTTTCTGGCCACTTTCAGCACTTGCACCAGCCCTGATCACATGCTATCCAGCCAGCAGATGACAAGAAGAGCAGTAGCCTCCATTTATACACCCTTTGAAAAGAAACAGAGGTGGGAAACCCACCAAGGTCTCCAGTGTGGGGTTGCAACCAGGACCATGTGTGCAGAGCTGTTAAGTAAATTAGTGACCCTGGCGTTGGTATTTGCAAGCTTTGATCCAGTTTTGGGCACAGAAGCCACCAATCCGCCGGAAGGTCCCCAAGAGAGAGCCCCTCAACAAAAAGGGCGGCTGTCTTTGCAAAATACAGGTATGTGATCTAAAAAGTGGGGGGAATGCTTGAAGAGGCAGGTCTAATTAAACTCAAATGCAAACAAACTGCATGTTACATATTGTTCAATAAGGAAGTAGTTGTAGTGAAATGGACGTGTCTTTCTGTTGTATTTACAGAGTAGTGGATAACTAGACGTGCACAATGACTTTTTTTTTTTTTGCGTGTGACTGTCAAACATAAATCAGGAGGAAATAAGTGTTCACTCCTAATTACCTTTAAAGCGCCAGCTAGCCAAGCACGTGCTGTCCTTTGAATCGCAGAGACAAGGAGCCCGCTGCATTTAATCTCTGCTAAACAATGATGAAATCCTTATAGATATCAATTTAGCGGCAACTGGAAAGTTATTCCACGTGATCATAAATGGTGAAGACGCGATTTTTGTTTAAGACTATAGTTACTTGTGGCACCGAACCAGGAAAGTGCCATGGCCGTCCTTGCACGTTGCAAGTCAGTCCAGTTCAGTCCTTTAATTGTAAATAAGCCAGTCATTCTGTAGGCAAACAAGAAACTCCAGCAGCTCAGACGCAGGCGATTTCTAATCCAGGAGATGCTGTTTGAGCAGAGGTTTAGATTTCGTCTGAAAGAGAAGGTTTCTCTATGCTAAGTACACAGTTAAAACGTGGAGGGGGGGGAACGTGACTGAAAATTACTAGAGCTGCTGCCTGCTTCTCTTGCGCAGAGAACCAAGTAATGATGCAATTGGCCATGGGGTTTCTCTTCTCATCCCTCCTAGTGTATTATCTGCCTAGTAGAAAGAACCGAGGCGTGCACTCTATTGGATCTTTTCCCAAGCATGGAAAGAGCGCGAAGAAGCTGTACACTTTTCTCTTTCTCTCTTACTTTTTTTTTTTTTAACTGTCTCAATGCTGCAAGCCTTGTTTAAACACACACACGAGCCGGAATGCACGAATGCCCATTAGGGACTGCCACATGTGAATCACGGCTCTGTGCAATTCTCAGCAAACTGGAAGCCAGGACATGTGATCCGAGAACCGTCTGCATCCAAATGCCAACAGAAGCACTACAGCTGGGCTTCCAGACCCAAAAAAACCCAAGATGCAGTTACACAACGCTTGACAAAGAGACCCCTTTTCGTTTTGTGTGCCTCTGCATCTGCAGCTTTCCACATGGGAATAACAGAATGCCGGCTCACACTGATTAACTGATTTCCAGCTCCCCTGGGTTTTGTAACTGCAAAGCCCCATGTGGCTTTTCCTGCCCTCCCCCGTCTTTTCGCTCCCTCTCCGCATCTCATAGCCTTTCTTTTTACCTGAACACAAACTCTGAAGACATTGTCTGTGTCGTTATTACAGGGTGTTTGCACATATTAATTTTCTTTTTGTGATCTATTAAGAGACATTACATTGTCTCCTAACTCAGCACTTTACATCAACAGTTTTATCTCCTTTTTGTCCTAAATGGATTAAAATTAAAACGAAAGTTGCTGTGAGGGATTTCAGATGGCAACATGTCAAGGGGGAAGGCTGCAGATGTTTTAAAAGCATGCTGTGGTTTAGAGAGGGCTACATCCCAAAAGTGAGCTTTAATTAAAGGTGCCACTCGTAAATGAGTACAACAAATTCTTAGCATCCTCAGTTCTACTCTAAAAGCTGCCCCTATTTGACTTTATCCTTAAGCTTCTCACCAACCACCTTCCTTTTGGCAACATTTTTTTAAGGATGGGCAAGGAGCTGCCTTGTTAAGATTTTTATTTGAAGGTGTCCGTCCAATGTCTGAAGCAATATTATTTGCTTCAATATTGTATAAAGTTTAGAAGGAAAAAATAACAGATTCACTATGCATGTGGCTGAAAGTTCTATTTGACTGTTGCATTCAAATAATCTGAATTTTTGGATAGTATTGAGGGTGGCGGGGAAAGGGCTCATGCAACAAGGGGCTCTGTCCCCCATTGAAAATTAGTGGGAGTTTTGACATTGACTTCAAAGACAGCAGGATTGGGGCCCCCAAGGATCAGAAAATAGTGGTGTGATAATCACCAGACACTAGTTCAGAGTACTAGACAAAACAAATTCTAGCCTGATCCTGTAGTTCTCACTCAGGCAAAATTCCCATTTAAGTTAAGGAGGGACTTTGCGAGAGTAGGAATTGTAGATCTGGCCCATCATATGCTCTGAAAGAATGAAACAACATTAGATATTTTCAAGTGACTATGGCTATGATGTAAGTGGAGTGAATTTGGCATTTACTTTTTGGATCTCATATTCATAACAAAATGCATAAAAATGTTGGCCTAATTTCTGCAAAAAGTGGATATGCGGTGAGTACAGGAACTGTTGTCTCATGTGCTTTTTCTTTTGAACTGATGATCTTAGCAAAATAACTCTTCTCCCCCCCATCTATGAATATTTGTACAAATTAACCATAATCAATGGTCATTTTAGCTGAAATCCAGCACTGCCTGGTTAATGCTGGCGATGTGGGATGTGGAGTGTTTGAATGCTTTGAAAACAACTCTTGTGAGATCCGAGGCTTACATGAGATCTGCATGACTTTCCTACACAACGCTGGAAAATTTGATGCCCAGGTAACCCAAAAAAAAGGGTGAAATGCCCAGAAGTATATGTTTAGAAGGTGCTATATTTAATTTAATGATTTTTTTTAAAATACATCTTTAAAATAAGTCTTTAATTAAGGACCAGATCTGCTCTTCCACATGTCCAACTCCCATTTCCTTTATTGAGAATTGGATGCATACAACCAAGGGCTTGATTCTTTCTGCTCCCATTCAATTCAATGGAAAAACTTCCATTGACTTGAATGGTGCTGTATCAAGCCCCAAGAACAGAATAACATATGCATTATGTTTAAGTTGTCTTATGCTACAGACATTCTGTTTCCTACCAAACTGTACCTCCACCTAAGAATTTTTTCCTAGTGGGCCTGTGATAACAAAAATGGAATGGTGATGATGCCATGAATGGATCCTGCAGTCCTCACTCAGACAAAACTCATGCTGCATTCATTAAGGACTGTAGGATTGATCCTATTGACACAAATGGGCATTCTGCCAATAGGCTGAAATACTGTAAATTCTTCGAGACACAGTCAGTATTGTGTATGTATCATTTTATTGCTTAAGTGACATATGCATATATGATGATAAAAATATCTCTATATCTCAACTGAAGAATCACACTTAAGCATTCCCTATGCAAATCTGATCAAATTAATTCAAGCGGGTTGATGGATACACTTTTCCAAACCATCTAAGTGACTTAGGAGCCTAAGTCCCATTTTCAAGTCACTTAGGCATGTCTGAAAATTTTATCCAATGTGAGCTTGTTAAATTATTTTCAAGAACTACACACAACTAGCACAGGCATCTCCAAAAGCTGCTGTATTCAAATAGTCCTTTGGCTCAAACACTGACAATAAAATACATTCTTTAGGCAGTATGCGGTATTAAGTTTGTCTCCTTCATTTTCTCCCCAGACAATTTAGGCATCATTGAAGCATCCTGTTATTATGTCTCGTAAACCTACTCTCCCATTTCAGTGTGGAGAGAAGAGAACATTACGACGGGCCAGCGGCATTTGGCTTGACACGTGCAGTTTACAGCATAACTTTACTGATGTCACCCAGCTGTAGGCTAATGGCACTTTATACAGCATAGTAGAAAGCAGAACTGTCTTGCAGATCCAGCTGTTCTATTTAGTTGGGCCATGGGACCAGACCTAGCAGAAAACAAATTCCCCTGTGCTGGAGATTTTAGGCTGAGATTTGCAAAGATACATAAAGGATCTGGATGTCCATTAAAATTGATGGGAACTGTGTGTCCAGATCCTCTGGGCATCTTTGAAAATCTAAGCCTTAGTTTCCAGGCAGCTGCCAGAGAATGATAATTAGAGATTATTTTATTTTATACATTATATATTATCCACAAGCAAAAAGTTTATGGAAGTAAAACCATGGGAAAACCAAACACATATATGAAATTATTGCATAAAAGCCAGCAAATAATTGCTCCATTGGACATGTTCATATCTTTAAAGAGAACAGGGGCTATTTTACATTCAGATTGTTTCTACTGCAATGCAAAAACACTGGGATCCATGGGAACAAACTGTCCTCTAAAATATACATGTGTAATTCCCATTGACTTTAATCTCTTCTCTTCAGTTTCTTTTACTGGCCTTATCACCACAAGTTCCAGAATCCTATCTGACATGACTACCGTTTGTCACATGTGATTCTCTCTTTTCCTTATCCCCCTTTTTTTCTCCAATGGCAAAAATGTGAGACTGTTTTTTTTAAAAAAAACATTATTTCTTCTGTCTGTACAGTAGTTAGTTAAAGTCTACTGTGTTATCTGTATTTGTTGCTGAATGCAAGGTCAAAGAAGTGCACCTGGCACTTGGAATGGACGGCGGTGATGTTTGACACAGTACTTCGATCAGTGGGGAGCACGTGTGTCTTGCTCTCAGATTTGTGTGAATCTGGTGTAACAATTGATCTCAGTAGAGTTACACAGGTGTAAATCTGGAATCAGTGAGAGCAAAAATTGCCCCATTGATCACCCATCAGCTAGGATAACCTGAGGCTAATAAAAAATGGGGCAACACAGGATTGCTACCATCCAGCTGTCACTCAACAAGAGAAGAAAAGCTGAGCATAGTTGCCAAGAGAATTGTGACATACATATACAGTAGGACTGGCAATAATATCTAATGGTGGAAAGAGGAAAGGATAGTGATGGGGGATGGGCATGCCTTGAATATTCCTCTGTAAAGCAATATGAGGAGAGCATGGAAGATGATTAGGGACATTGCCTAAATAGCCTTTATTGTCTTTAATACATATATATTTGCTTGTGAAGCCTTCAGATTGAAATGTCTTCCCTCCAGCAGACAAAAACATTGAGATGTTATCGTGGGTGGCTTATGAGAGTGGGCTGGTAGCATTGATTTGGGGACTCTTTTGTTGTGAGGATAGGGAGAGGGAAACAGGAAACACTGAAGCCAGTGGTTTCCTTAAGGGGACAGGGAGTGCTTCTATAAGAGCTATGTGAACTTTGCAAACTGATAAGGAAAGGTAGTTTTGGTATGACTGACTGTAAATATCCCCTTTGTGGTCCTGGAGACTCAAAACACATTCGGTCACTCTCATCAGTGATGTAAGCCCAATGTAGTCCATGGTGACAGACCAGGAATGAATTTACTCCATTAAGTTGGGCTCTCTGTTGTTTAGAAATGAACCCTCTTCTTTCTCTCCTAGACCAACAAGGACAGGGGTTGTGGTAGAGGCAGGGCACTCAGTGCTGAGAGGAGGCAATGAAAGCATCACATAACCATGGAGAAACCATGGAGAAAACCAGACACAACCAGCCTAGGAACAGCATCCAGCCTTTCTAGAATGGCAGGTCAGGACAATCTGACATGGCCTTTAGGAGCAAAGAAATAAAACGGGGGAGACATTAACAAATAGCCTTAGCAGTCTAATAACCCTTGACACTGTCATGTGGAGGAGTGGCTAGTTGAGCATAAATCACCTGATGTGCTTAACGGACGCAAATACAGAACTACTCCGTTTCTTATCTTCTCAGGGAAAATCCTTCATTAAAGATGCTCTGAAGTGTAAGGCTCACGCCCTGAGACACAAATTCAGCTGCATCAGTCGCAAGTGCCCTGCCATTAAAGACATGGTGTTCCAGTTACAGCGGGAGTGCTACCTGAAACACGACCTCTGCTCTGCCGCCAAGGAGAATGTCCAAGTCATTGTGGATATGATTCACTTCAAAGACCTGCTGCAACACGAGTAAGTATGAGTGTGCAAGGAGCCTAGTATTGTAGTGAGGGTGAGGGAAGAATTTCACCTAAAAATACATGTCATCTATTGGGTTGTTTATTCATTCCCCCAGGAGACAGGAAATCCTGAGTTCCATCCCATCTAATTGTGTCCTTGAGCAAGTCACTTAACTATTCTGCCTCAGTTTCCCATCTGTCAAATGGGGATAACTCTTTTTTCGTAGAGGTGCTGCAAAGACTAGTTGATATTTTACAGAAGTGATGAGTATTATCTTACACAGACATGACCATGGGAGGGAAACAAATGTGTTGAAGTTGGATCGATTTTTTTAGTTATGACATTATTTGTTTCCAGAAGTACCCACAATGTGCCAAGCACTTTCCAAAAAAAAAGAAGGCTCAGTTCGTGCCCCAAAGATCTTGTATTCTAAAAGAGAAAACTAACTGACCGAAGAAAGAGGGAAAACATAAGTGAAGTGGTCAAGATGGTATTTACACTAGGTAATAATAGTTTGATGCCACAGTTCTATTTTATAAATAAATAGATTGTCCCCAGGTATCTGCAGCTGTTACTGAAATGACAGATGTCATACTCTCCCCTCATCCAAACAACATAATCTTGCATGAAGATTAATTGCAGTCCATTTCTGATTTGCTTTATGAAATTCTCAAGTATTCATATCCCTAAAGTATCTTGTTGTTGCTGTTAGTCAGAGAAACTGACTAGACCTTCATGAAGAAAAGCTCCCATACTCCTATTCACATCACCCCATATGCTTGCCAAGGAAATGTCTAAGCACATAAATGCATACAAAATGGAACATCAGAGTCTAGATTTTCAGTAGTTCCCCTCTTTTGAGAGTACAGTTTACACCTGCAATGAATAGCTGGGATAAGTCTTAGTAATAACACATCTAAACTACTAAATTGCAGGAACAAATCAGACACAGACTACTGTGGTTTGTGCCCACCCTTCATTTGCTGGTGCAAAAATGAGAGAATACTTTTCCGCAGGTGGAAATTGCACCCAGAAACAGGGACGCTCAGCCACAGGCTGGCAGAAAAATTATCACTGGCTATCTTCATACCATACCCCGATGATTTCTCATTCCCTATCGAATAACCAAACCCTCCAAACCCATAGACAACGACAGATGATAACACCCAGCTGGTCTACAGCACTTTTCATCAGAAGATCCCCAAGTGCTTTACCAAGGAGGTCAGTATCATTATTCCCATTTTACAGGTGGGGAAATTGAGGCACAGAGCGATGAAATGACCAGTTCAACTTTCAAAGTGTATGTTAGTGTTGCACTCTTAAAATCCCAGCCTAATTCCTTTAGGTTCTGATAAAAATCCCACCCTTAAACTCCAGGTTACGCTTAAGGAGAGTGGAGCTGTGACACTAATTTACTCCATCATTAATTACAGTTTAACTAAGTAATCCCAGCCCACTGAAAGCAACATTCCTTCCATGGACATGGACCTTCCTGGAGCTAGGATCAACAGCATGGCTGGTGTCCTCGCTGTCGTTTTTGCATTGCCATTTCTGGTCTCTATCCTCATGGTGGTAGGGAATGAGAGTGCTGTGGAGGCACCAGCATGCCGGGCTTCTTCGGGGACAGTGAGGGCAAGCAGTGCATCACATTGTACACCAGCACCGGCATTTCAGGAGCTGCATTAACAGGCTGTAAATTGGCGGATACTTGTCTACAAGTAAAACTTTTTAGCTCCATAGATGAAAAGTGCTATAAGACCAGAGTGCTTTGCCAAGGTGAATCAATGTTCCCCACTTTACACAGTGGGTAAGGCCAGAATTCTCAAAAGTGGCCTCAGTTTTTGGGTACACCTCCGGCTAGGTCAGCGAAGCTCATTTAGAGCCGTGAGTAATCAGTAAAATTCTCACTGGCTCATTTGACAGGCATATTAAAGACCATGTCCTGTCCCTTCACAATTCCTGTTTCAGATAAAGACAAAACTTTAGACCAGGAAACATTATTGACGCTCATTCTCACCACCTCCTCCTGTACTATTCCAAAATGAGCAGTCTTTTGCCATATTATTTTCACCATTTTCTCTTCATGTGTAAGCTAAATAGCATCTTGTGGACAGTAAGGGCACCTCTTGGGGAGAAGGTTGGGGGAATGGAGGTTTGGATCTATTTTTTTTATTACAATGGTGAAAATGGTCAGAACAGTTGCACTTCCGGGACCTGTTGCGTTCCAAATAACTAAAAAAATCCCACCACCACCACCCCAGTCAAGAATCCAAAGATGGATTCTTTATTCCTTAAACTCCCTCCTTCAAAGAAGTTGCATCCCCAGACATTCAATTTAACAACAGAGTAAAATCTTGGAACTTTCATCCACTCTACTGTCCTGGTTTGCTAGCTCTCCTCATCCCTACCTGTCTATTTTGCCTGTTTCAAGTGTATAGCTTCAGGTACAGGGCTCATCTGGCACCCAGCACTATGTACAACTGGTCTCCATCGAAGACGACATCAGCACCACTCCATGTGCCAGATTCAACCCTGGTGTAAGTGGGCTGGGCACACCACTGAAATCAATGGAGCTGCCACTGCTTACACTAAGGCTGAATTGGGACCCTTGAGGATGCTAAAGTTGTAATTCAGGTGTTTCCTTTGACTAGAGACTTTTAACTGTGTCGCCCTTCTGGGCTCTCCCAGCCTGCCTGCTAACAGCTGAACTGTTGTCTGCTCTGTTGGCATCTTTTGGTGATACTGCCTTACCAGCGTGCTCCTACAAGTGTTCTACTTGCCCTCCCTGACACTTTGCTAAGTAAGATGGGCATCATCTATTCACTGGCCATGTTGTGTCATGTGAATGCAACACCACAGGATGTGACTCAAATTAAAAATAGTCAGTCTGTAGTTTTCCCAGTTAGCAGATGGGTGCCAAGTGTGATCAGTATTCTGCCTGTGCTCTCAGGCTAACCCAAAGGCTTTGAATCACTTGTCGTAGAGTGGCAATCTTCTTGCCATCTGCCTCAGTTGGGTGGGGGTGAAGATACACAGTTTAGATCCTTAGTGATCCCGTTAGCAAAGAAATGGAACCAAATAAGTCTGGATAAGACAACTCAAAATGGTAACAAACTATGCTTTCAAGGTGGACTTCAGGTCTCCTAACTACATAGAATTAAATCAGTGGTCTATTGATCCCGCTTCCAGCAGAGTCAGAAACTTGAAGCTTCAGATGAAGGCAAATGAAAGTGATAAAACCCAGAGAAACCCCTAGCCTGTTGCACAATGCTATTCATGTGGGTGGGGAAATTCTTCCCTGACCTAGGCAGGTGATTGGTTTATGCCCTGAGGCGTTAGATTTGGTTACTGTTATGTACAATAATATGAGTAACTACTAGTGTTACAATTAAATGGCATGACTTTGCAAGTCAATTTTTTGTAATCAGCTACATATTTTAGGAACTTGATGGGCCACGTGGGAAGGGAATTGGCTAATTTTTAAGGTCCCTTATCTCAGCTGACGACTAAGAGGGAGATGGAAGGAAGGAGACTGAAGGATGACCGCAATGAAACATGCATAGTCACAGAGCATTAGGTCTGTGGCAGATGTGCTGACAGGGTTTTGGAGAAAACACTATCTAGGTATTTATACCGTGCTCACGACTGTAGTATCTAATGATACTAAAAACATCTCCTTAGCTCAGGGCAAGTTTGCATATTTCCTTTTTATGTGAATGGCGTGTCCAGGAGGCTTCCCTCTGAGTTATTAGCTGCTATGGACAGCTAAATAAAGAGGACAAACCGCTAAAAATATACTGTGGGGAACAATCAGGTCTGGCTAGGGTGAGATGGGACCTAATTGCTTTCTCCATCTAACTTCGGTGACTTTTGGTGGTGAAACTCACATTATCTCCTCACCCTTAGAGGCTCAGGTGTATACATAGAAATTTCATTATTCTTTTTCCTTGTAGGATATTTCCTTGCCGCTGCCAGCCCTGAAGAGGGTCCAGAGACCTTGCCCTTTCCATCCCTGAAAACATAAGCAGGGTGATGCTCTGATAAATCGCCACTAGGTCAGTTAGGAGCCCCCCTTTGTCAGCCCCCCACATCCCATCTATTCTAGAGAGCCGAAGATTCTGTTTTCAGTCCCAGCTTTTGCTCTCCTACAGTCCCCAGGGGTAAAGGCTGAGTCCCATATGGGCTCCCATATGACAGTAATTTGTAGAATTGAATAAAGTGTGTAGAGGCCAGGTGTAGGACTGATTTAATATCTGTTAGAGAAGTATCAGGAAGCAGTATCCTACCCTGACAAGGTTTGGATTCAGTCATGTAATGGGTGTTTTCTGGCTCGAACTGCTCTGAAATCACAATTTCACCATTAGCCTAAGGCTATGCCTACGCTCCAAATTACTTAGGTATAACTTACATTGTGGACAGCGCTACGTTGGTGGGAGAGCTTCTCCCGCCAACACAGCTACAGCTTCTCCCAGAGGCAGGAGTTATTAAGCCAATGGGAGAGCTCTCTCCCGTCGGCATAGAGTGTCTTCACCAGAAGTGCTACCGCAGTGTAGCTGTAGTGTAGACATAGCCCGAGTAAATGCAGGACTGGAGGTCGTCCATCTCTGGGACAGTTGGTGACAGTTCTGCCTCTGCTACATGTATGTTATTTATTTTCAACTTAAAAATAAATCTTTGTGCTTGTGGCAGCCAAAAGCATCACCCCTCAAATCAACGCAACTCTCCAGCCCATATCAACTCGGGTTCCGGGGGGGGGATAGGAGGGAGAACAGGGAGTGGGTACAAAGTTCATCTTGACTCCTCAAATGGGTGAGCTGTTCCCAATCATGCAACTGACTGATTAGACACCATGTAATCATCCACTTTTTTGTGCTTAAATACATTAGCACTATTGACTCCAAACATGCAGCAGCCTGGGTCTCCTGACTCCTACCCCCTTGTTCTATCCGGTAGACAATTCAACATTCTGCATCTGTTGCCTGTCTTAACCCAACTAGCCATGTCTCTGTAGCAGCCATGCCTAATGCAACTTCCAGGTCTGTGTGGGGGGACATTATTGTTCACTTGGTGGAGATGCTGCCAAAGGACTCAAGTCTCAGTTGTAGTAACATGTAGGATATAAAGCATGGCTGCCAGGTGAGGGAACGGCTGTACTGCATTTAAGTCTTCTATAGCATCTGGCCAGTAGCTGGCAAACACAGTCTGCCCATGCAGATGCTCTGGAGTAAGCAAGAGGAGAATGAGGCACAGTGACCTCACACCCACTTGCTGATGTGTAACCTACTTGCATCTTGCGACATGATTCTCTTTTAACTTCCCCTTCTGCTGTTTGATTTACTTCCAGGCCATATGTCGACCTGGTGAACATCCTCCTCACGTGCGGGGACGAAGTGAAAAAGGCTATCACCAGAAGCATCCAGACCCAGTGTGAACAGAACTGGGGAAGCCTCTGCTCCATCCTGAGCTTCTGCACCTCAGTCGTGCACAGCGACTCCACACTGGGTCCTGAGAGGAAGACAGGTGAAGCCACCAAAGCCTCTACCAGCCGTGGGGACATACTAGTCCACCCAGAGTCTGACCACAGGGAGAGCTCACGAGCTGCCAAAGGAGAGAGAGGTGGCAGGGCTCACTTGAACACGCACCCCCGGGTTAAAGCTGGAGCTTACAGCCCCAAAGGGGCACACGGGATCATTGAGCGGGCAGAAGAACTGTCCGATTTCTCCGACATCCGAAGGTGAAAGGAGGCACCGACTCAACCCTCCCCCTCCACCAAAACTTCCTCCATTGAGTCCATCTTCTTAGCTATGGACATTCCAAAACCTTTACCATTCAGAGGGGTGATGTCAAGCACAGGGCATTGTGGGATATGTGGACTTCAGTGATAGTGTATAGATTAGTAGAGGAGAGCAGTGGTTCTGGGTTATTGATTGTCTCCAGAAAATTTGACACTTACATAACCAATGGGTGAGACAAAATGTTTAAATCCTCCCCCCCCCCTCCCCCCCGTTTTTAAAAACAACAGAACAAGTGGATATTGTTTTCAATTTGATTGTCTTTTGGTTGGGGAAAGGGATGTGGGGAGGGCTCAGCCAGATTTTATTTTGGCCAGTCACAGCTCCGCTATGCTTAGGGGGCAGTCTCCAAGCAGATGGCAGAATCCCAAAGGGATCTTCTCTGCCCAGGGCTGTGAATGTAAGAGTTCAGAGTGGGCTGTTGTGACACTCTAAGTAAATAAATGTCCAGTTTATTGCACGGGGAGATTGCTGTTTTGAGCTATGTCATTTTCTCTTAAGTCCTGAGCCATTGTTCCTGTCTAGGTGACAGTACCCGACTTAAATGCCCCCTTGTATGTATTTTAACCACTGCTTAACTTTACTTTATTTATCCAGTTACTCAAAAATGTCAGTGGCCTAAGTAGCCAGTTTTGTGACCTGCTTAGCATCAAAATGAGCACATTTTCCACAGACCTCCAAAGTCCCCAGGCATGTCCTCTTTCAGAACCTGCGGCTGTGCTCACAGAGGAGCATTTTCTGCAGCATTTTCCCCACCTGTGGGCAACCCAAAATGTTGGGCTTAGGCACAAACAGTTGATGTGTCCTTAAGCTTTGTGGGCTTAGGGAGTATTTTGGAGGCCTGTTGAAGATCTGTCCCTTTTATTGTCTTTGGAAGCAGCATTATGGAGTTTGCAGGGCTCTAGAGACTCAGTGTTCTAAATCTGGCCACAGGTCATGGTTTATCAAAGTGCCAAAAATGACTATGGGATAGTGAGAGATCGTTAACTTTTTTTTTTTTTTTTTTTTTTATAAACTAGCACACTGGGTAGTGACCTCCAAACCCTACAGAGTGAGTGGAATGCAGAGTGATAAGATGGGTTTGGAGAGCTTAATCTTTCTGAGTGATTTAAAGTTAGGGTGAGATGCTAGGGTGCATCCTTTCTTATCCCCATATGCAAATGTGACCCACAATTTGCACTGCTGCAATTACGTATCCTAGGATGTTATTCTTAAAACATTGGTTATCGTATCTAAAGGCAGACAGGGGTGGGAACTTTAGTAACCTCTGTTGGGGAAGGATGATCTTTCTTGCAAGACCGTATCACACCAAGGATCTGAGCACTGGCCTTTTGCTTCAGGAGGCCTGGAGTCAAATCACCAGTGGTGGGAAGGCAGTTTGGTACAGACTGAACTAGCACAGGGAACTGACCTACATCTTTGTCACTTGGTGGGAGTGGAGGTGATTAGCAACACAGGGGATTTAGCCATAACTCCCACCGAGTCAAATTCTGCTTCTGGATATGTGTATGCGGCTCCCAGTATCTTCAGTGGGAGATTTGTGCATATATCCCTTAGCAGAATCTTGGGCATTACTCTTAATAGAAGACATGTGGGTAAATCTCCTTGGTTGGGAGGGAGCAAAGAACAACCATTAACCTGAAGAGTTACACCGTTATGCAGCCATCAACCTCTTGACCAAAAAAGACCCCGATCCTACTCCCATTGAAGTCTCTGACAAAACTCTCATCTGACCTCAGGGAATCTAGGATCAAGCCAAGAGCCCTTGAGGAGTGGGCAAGTTCCTTCCAGTATGTGGACAAGATGACCAATCCAATCATGGCAATGGTGGCCCGTGGCTCATACACACAGAGGGTGCAACTCAGAGGGACTGTAGTTCCCCTAGCTAATGTCCATGCATATATACCACTTCCAATGGTTTGCTTTGAAGGACACCCTCCCTATCCCAAAACAAAGTGTCTTGCTGCTGGTGATGCAATAGGAAAGTTTTTGGTCTCCCTCACTGTGACCTCCTCAGGAGCATCCCACTACCCCATGATGATGCATAGGCATAGTAAAGGACAAGCTGAAACCAAAAAGAGAACCGAACCATGACAGCAAAAAGGACTTGCTATCAAGTTAATATTCTTGCCTAACTCCATTAAGGTCTCTCTCTCTCTCTCTCATTAAAGGTCTCATTCATCTATGAGAACCAAACATATAGCGATATATATACACTCTTGAATGTCTTAGTCAACATATCACCTCAGCATACATACAATTTACTTTTATTCATTCATTCTGCATGAGGAAAAGTATATATTCCTCCATCTTGTTAATTTCTTTATTGTTTCAAGGGGGCAGGGGATTTTGTATATGGCATAACATTTTTTCCTCTGTGTGTGAAGATTTTCTGTGTTCATCTACTGATTCCACATATGCTATTATTGTAAATATTTAACATTTCTATTTATTATAGTGTCTCCATTTAAAAACCAAACACTGCTGGCTATGGTAATTTAAATGTATGTCATGACCTGTGTTGTATATATTCATGCCACTAGTATGTTTTTGTTGTTGTTTAAAGCAACGTAAATATAATTTTATACAGTTCCATAATGTTATTGACAGCAAAAATCATTTATTTATTGTTAAACCTTCTTTCATGTCTAATAAGTAGGGTGTGTTTACCTGAGAGTATGTTATCAAGACATCTACATAGCCTTAATTCTTTGTAAAATCAATTTTAAAAGAAATCTACTGTCCCCTTAGAGACCCTATGATACTTTGATCACCAGTCCTCCCAAACCTGCTGCTTGCGAAGGAGATTTAGCTTAAAAAACAAGGTCTGGATGTTTCTCTTAAGCTTTGCATCTGGAAAAAAACCACCCATAAGAGAAACTAAAAAAAGTAAAATGCCTACTGGAAAATATATAAATAACCCATCACCCCACAAAAACACTGTCCTACCTTTAAAAATGAAGTTCTGAAACATAATAATTAAAAAACTGTCCTTAAATTCCAGTTCTCTGGGAGAAAAACATACTAGTTCTATCTCATGTAGAATTTACAGCTGAATAAGCTTGTAAACATTGCATATGGATTTAGGTAAAGCTCTGTATCTTTTCACACTGCTATTATTTTTCCTGGAACACTAATAAATGTTTTGAATAAGTCTTGCTGAGATTCCTACTTTTATTTTTTAAACACAGTTCTAGCTATGTTGGTAAGAGATAAGAAGCCACTTTGAAGCTGGGCTTTTAAACAACATAGATACATTCTGTGGGCTAGACCCTCAGGTATGCCTGAGCTGCACTCGACTTACCTGAGCAAGGGAGAGGGAAGTGATTTCCTGCTAGCCCTTTCCCCCAATCCTGAGGGCTAATTTGACCCTGGAGCAAGTTAGAACAGCCTCAGGGATGTTCTAGTTTGCACCAGCTCGAAGGGTGCCCTAGGGCCATTTGCTCCAGCCACCTCCCTCCTACTCCCTGAACACATCTTTATGTCGGGGGAGCAGGAGCAGATGAAGTAGACATGACTGCAACAGCGGTATGCAACCTGGGGGTTCCTTATGCAAGCGAGGAACTCTTCAGCTGGCTCTTTAAGCCAGTTTTCTGGCCCCTTTACACTCTCAGAGTGGGGCCAGGAGATGGCTCTTTGTTTACTCTTTTGCAGTAGAGAAAGCCAAACAGCAGATCTTAACTCCATCATTGTATTATATAAAGGGCCTGATTCTGGAGTCCTTAAACTAAGCTCCCATTGATTTCAGTGGCAGTTTTCCCTAAGGGCTCCAGGGTTGTGCTAATTAGGTACATGTGATACCACTGTATAGATAAAAGAGTCCTGCTCAGTCTTAGTTATGTTTTTAAACTGTTCATCTTGAAGGGTGAGAAGCAGGTATGGAGATGCATTGGTGCTCACAGATTCATCTTTCACCTCTGGAGCCTTGGAGTCAAAGACTAGCTGCAATCAAATGGGTACATGAGGCTTGTTGGGTTTTATCCTAGTCCTCAGTAACTTAGATCAAAAAACCATTCCACAATTTGACATCCCTGGCACGTTTTGCTCAACAGAATTAACTGCTGGATGAAGCTCAATGGACCTGCAGGATGGATGCAGATTAGCATTTAGTTATGTTGCCAAAGTTGTATAGAGGAACCCAAGACTGGTGCTGCAGTCAGGATTGAGGTGCATTGGCAGAGCTGGGTAACAGGGTGTAGGGAAGCTGCCTGCATTGTCTCCAGTCCATTCTGCTTAGTTCTTCATTTTTATGACTGCTAAATTAACCCACGTGTCTTAAATATGGGACACGTTGCTTAAAGATGTGACAATTGCTGAGGATTTGTATACAGATGCAAGCCCAATGTGAGTTGCTCTATTACAGTCATTTCAGCAACAATTTGAATGTGCAGCTGTAAATGAAATCTTAGAAATCTGCTGGTCCCTGAGCAAAGCAGAGCAGCTAAATCCCAGGATTTAAAGCAAGCAAGCAAGCAAACCCCAGTTTGAATGGTCTCTATAGCTGAGATGTGGAAAAAGCCAGGCTGGTGACTTGAACTGGAGGCCAGGCCTGGAAACTATTTTTTTCCTTCTTCAGCTAGGATTATTTATGGGGCAGGGGGTGGGGAAGGGGGAGAATTCCGAAAGAGCAAACCCAGGCCCTAAGGCAGGAATTGTTTATGGCTGCTTGCATTAAAAGCACATTTTTAATGCTCCTTCTGTGAGGTTTAAAAATAACTAATCCAATTTAAGCCTTTGGATAAGATGGACTTCACAAGCTTACATGTGATTTGAAGGAATCCATGACCTGTAATATTTCTTTGTTTAAGGTGCATTGCCACCTAGCAACAGCCTGTGCATAATCCTGCCGTTATCTTTAACCACTGTGCAAAGGGAAAGTGCATTTTACCAGCTGTCACAGGAAATGGCCCCATGCCAAGCTACAGTTTGCACCAGGAGGCGTACAGATAAGATGTAAAACGGAGATGCTGGCCGCTCCCGATTGTTAAAGATCTCACTGCATTCATTGCAAGAGTTGGGTCAGTCGTGGCCAAAATCCAGCTCAGGTAATTACATTCTGCCAACTACCATTCTCCCTAAAATTTCAGCTAGTAAAGTTATTTTTCATGTCCTGAAGCATAGTGCTGTTGAATCGCATTCCACTCCCAGCGTGGCTACATGTCAGTGATGGGTGATGTAATCCTGGCAATTCCTGAGGGGGTCCAGTCTTATAAAACACAGCAAAGCCTGAGTAACAACGGGTTGTGCTGTCATAAAATGTACAAAGGCACAGAGAGACAGGTATCCAGATCTAAATGAACTTCAGAGCAACCTCACCACGTAACTGGCCTATGGTCACCTCCTACTATGAATGAGGGAGAGGGAGCAGTAGATTTAGCCACCTTCTTGCCTCCTACTTGGTTGTAGCCCTTATAGATTTGCTCTGTGTAAACCTCACTAGCTACACCACAACACACCCACTTCCTACACCCTTGCATTGAAGAGAGTCTGTAATGACTTGCTGGGAGGTATGGACAATAACTGCTTGAGCTCCTTGCAGCTCACTTTCTAATAAGGCAGGATTACAGCCACTATAGCATCATGTATGTCAGTCAAAACAAATAATTTATTCCAGGAATTTCATCTTATTTTTCCAGTTAAGAAACTGCCTAGGCAGATCATAAACTTCTCACTTTCATATTAAATTTGTGACTATCTTGAGCAAATAGTTCTGCAAGTAACCTGCAGTTTGCAATTGAATATACAACCAGAATTGATGCCACTCTAAATAGAGATTATACAAGTCATATTATAGTGTTCCTTTTTCCTGATTGGAGGACTTACGGAACCAAACAACACAGTGCAAAATGATTAGTTTTATATTTGACTGGCAAATTTTCAACCTACTCCGTGGTGTTCAGCACATATTATGATTTTTACTATTTTTATTTATATTACACTACCACCTAGAGGTCCAAATAAGATCAGTGTCTCATTGTGCTAGGTGCTATACAAACACATAGCAAGAAACAGACCTTCCCCCAATGAATTTACACTCTAAATAGACAAGACAGGTAAATAGGAAACCGAGATGAAGTGACTTGTACAAAGTGCCACAGCAGATCAGTGGCAGAGCCAGTCATAGAACCCAGCTTTTCTGACTCCTAGCCCAGTACCCTGTCCATTTCCAGGGACCATGCTGCCTAACCAACATTTGCGTTGGTGAATATTGGAACTAAAAAAAAGTCATGGTTTAGGAGTTTTCATGCTAGAAAAGCTCGAGTGCTCGAATATTTGCAGAAAGCAAATACAGTTGAACTGAAATTTAATTTTGAATTCAAATACATAGCCAATTTTCCCAGCAAATTGTTCCGTTGTAGTTTCCATTTGAATCTGCTCATCTTCTGAGGGACTGGCCTCAGCCTGTGCCTCTCTCTTTTCACACTGCAGTTAGAAGGGAAAAACACATATTGTAACTTAGGAGCATCCCTTCCAGGAAAAAATGAGAGTCCCGCTGGGTCTATCAAAGTATTTACAACAGGGGTGGGCAAGCGTTTTGGCCCGAGGGCCACATCTGGGAATAAAAATTGTATGGTGGGCCATAAATACTCACAAAATTGGAGTTGGGTTGCAGGAGGGGGTGAGGGCTCTGGCTGGGGATGCGGGATCCAGGGTGAGGCCAGAAATGAGGAGTTCAGGGTGTGGGAGGGAGCTCCGGGCTGGGGCGGGGCGTGGGGTGCTGCGGGGGGTGAGGGCTCCAGCTGGGGGTGCAGCCTCTGGGGTAGGGCTGGGGATGAGGAGTTTGGGGTGTAGGAGGATGCTCCGGGCTGGGACCAAGGGGTTCAGAGGGCGGGAGGGGGATCAGGGCTGGAGCAGGGGTTTGGGGCGTGAGGGGAGGCTCAGGGGTGCAGGCTCCGAGCGGAGCTTGCCTCAAGCAGTTCCTGGAAGCAGCGGCATGTCCCTTCTCCAGCTCCTACGTGGAGGAGCAGCCAGGCAGCTCTGCGCACTGCCCCATCTGCAGGCACCAGCCCTGCAGCTTCCATTGGCCACGACTCCCAGCCAATGGGAGTGGCGGAGGCAGCACTTGGGGCAGGGGCAGTGTGCAGAGCAGAGCCCCTAGCTGCCTCTAAGCATAGGAGCCGAAAGGAGGCCATGCCGCTGATTCCAGGAGCCGCATGGAGTGGCCCCTGACCCTACTTCCCAGCTGGAGAACCAGAGTGGGGCAAGCCCCACACCCCGCTCCTTAGTGGGAGCTCAAGGGCTGGATTAAAATGGCAGGCAGGCCGGATCCGGCCTGTAAACCGTAGTTTACCCACCCCTGATTTCCAAGGTATTTACATGGTATCTGCACTTGGCTGTAGCAGACATGATTCAATGGCCACACAATAAAAGACAATTGCTGTCAACCTGCCTCTGCCACAGTGGTGACAGTAGTCATTTTAGTTGCAAACACATGCAGCAATGGTAAACCAAAGGTTACAGAGAGTTTGTTCATTCCTGAATATTCCTGGTAAGTATCTGGACACAATGGTAAGAGACAATGCTCACTGCCTTTTTACTTCTACTGTTCTACAGCTGGAACCATGGTATGAGTGGAATTAGAGCAAGCCCATTGTGAAGCCTGTACGGCTATACAGGGGTAAGATATTGGGAAACCAATGGGATTCTTGAAGTATGTAATAAGGTTGGAAGTAATTGTGGAACATTTCTATTGGATCATGTCTGATGTGTTGATCTCAATGATCTTTTTAGGTTGAGAAGGAGCTGAAAACTGCTGGAAAACCATCTGCCTGTGTGTATTAAAAGCAACCTCATGCCAGGTGCTATCAGAAATGAAAATTCCATTGAATTTCCACTTGAAATTCCAGCTGCCATCATGGCTTCCATCGTGCTTGCCAGTTAGAAATGGAATGGCTGGCAGGGACAAAGCCCGTCAGATCTTCAGCTTTCAAGCAATCTCAGGGGACATAAGACCATGCAGAACTACTTGCAGGGCTAGTTATGGAATAATCTTATGCTCAAATAAATTTGTTAGTCTCTAAGGTGCCACAAGTACTCCTTTCCTTGTGCTGCTGTTATCCATGCTCACCTGACCAATGCACAAGCTTCAATTACAGAGCACCATTGGTAGCACTAAATGCCATCTTTTCCCAGCATTAACTTAATTTAAAAACAAAGAT